TTCATCTCGACCGAGAAGAGCATGAAATTTAATTCGAATTTATTATTGTGCGTCAGGAGGAAAATATAAGAGCTCATCCGGGAGATACACATCTTTCTTGCTCAGAGACGTTCAGGTTAATGTAATTGGTAAAAATTTGATTTTAAAATGTCAAGAAGACAACCTTTGACTTCGAAAGTATTTCCATCAAGGAGCACGAATGATCCTTTGCCATTCCCGTTTTCGTCACCCATAGTTGAAATCATGATTTCTCCGGATGACAAACAATGGGACGTGTGCGGGGTTCGACGGCCAGTTTTCCCGACAAATTCCTCTGGTTCGACAATCTTAGAATAGGAAAAAATTTATGAATCATAATAATGTAATAAATAAATTATTTTGAAGTTTTATTTTTCAATAAATAAATAAATACCGATAAAAGATGCTATTGCTACAGTTCGAACCTCAAGAACTACTTCCAAGAGACCAGCAAATGCATTCAACTCATAGAGAAACGAGCATTTGAGTGAAGTGGGAGAAAGAATGAAGAATTGACAGGAAATTGTAATTGGTGATAAATAATCTAGGCCTCTACAGTAATTGCTTCTGAAACGTGCTGAACTTGGGAAAACTTGGAGGCAATAAGGGTTTATTTCCCCCCAAATTATTCATTCACTTTCTTTCAAATGAAGTTACATTTCTATTGTATTTCTCTTTCCTGTGCCAATAAAATTATTACCGAGAGGCCTCCAGAAAATTTTTAATTATAGAGTTTTGAGGGGCAATGAGTTAAGGGGTTTTTAATGCATCGTTTCCAGGAGAATTCAGAGATGGGCTAAAGAAAAAAAATTGACATAGGGAGGTACGAGTTATTGAGGTTCAACTGTACATTTTCTCACTTTTAAGATTGTTTTTAAATTACGCAGAATATTTTGTGGTAATGAAGAGCATTTTTGCGAACATCAGTAGGGACAATTTTTGAATGTCATTAGATAAAACGGGCAACAATTTGACCAACAGGAGTACTTTAAAATTTTCTCCAAAAATTAGTTAGCTTTAAACACGATTATCGGCACATTGTATAAAGAGATCCTATACACGAGCTGGAAACTTCATTTTTACAAGCAGCCAACATGTGTTGAAAAAAACATTCTGCAGTATTTTTTCTTAGATAAATTCTAAGCCGTCATCACTAAGTGGATCTTGAGAATTTTTATGTTTTGAACAAAAAATGTTTACGACTAAGGAAGGGTCCTAGAATAAACTGTGACGAGAAGTGTGCTGCTACGTCAAGATTTGAAGAAAATATATTCCTCGTAAGAAGCAGGGCTATAAAGCTGTTGAAAATCGTTGTACGCATGAAATGCGTCGTTTCGAGATCTTATACTGTGCAGAAAAACTCAGCCTAGTGATAGGATAGACACAGGAAGCTCATTATTCATGCTGAACAGTTTCAGAATATTTTCGCTTCACCTTGTGGATGGTGGGAGTGCGTGGGTCAGTGCCAGTGTCGACGATGTAGACGCGATCCGAGAGCAAACAAGGCATAATGAGTTTATTCCTCGCTGCCCCTGCGACTCCGTAGCACGACGAGCACGCGTTCCAGCCCGTGTGATGCACCTCGTCTCCCGCATACTTCATGGGCAACCTGTGGATGACCTGGGTCACAATGCCAAAATAAAAGGGAACGAAAGAGAAAATCATAGATCAAGAAACTTGTCAAATGATTTCCTCTTGACTCTTGAATCGTTTACAACGAACTGGACTCTTTTTCCAACGATATTTAAAGGACGACCAGAAAAAAGTTCGTCCAACAGAACCTCTGTAAGAGAGTCACGCAAAAAAACAAATCGCTGTACTGTATAGGAAAAATCGTTGACAAGATCGTCGTCGAATGATAAGAGATTTCATTTCTGTATTGAACCCAGAAAACGACTGAATTTCCTTGAACATCATTTCACTGTTATCATTTCACTTTAAATTTTATTTTTTCCCTCTATAATCTTGAACTATGGATTTGACGATTTTTCGTGAAGCTTCCACGTAAATCCAAGCTTATAGAAAAATATACTGTGCGTAAGATTTCTTATTTGGACATCGAGGCGATTTTCTTTCTCGGCTTGCACGAAAAAAAATCATTTTAAATTTGGAAAATGGATCGTCTGCTTAAAACGCGAAACTATATTTGCTCTCATTTTCATGCTCAACGAGAATGCATGCATATTCCCAAGCTTTTTCGATTGCAAGGTGGGCTTTTTTCGAATTTCTGACATGTAACAGATGTGGGGAAAAATAAATTGGAATGAATCATCTAAAATCCCCTTTTCACGATTTTTGTCTAGTTTTTTTCCGTTTCTACCTCACTTTATTTTCAGGTTTCCAACAGTTAAAAAGGATGAAGTTCTTGTGTTGACCGAATACACGTTTCTTCTCAACTATCCTCGTCGAAAAATTTTTACTGAATTGTCGGTGAGTCTGTACATCTTCCACAATTTAATTCGTTCGATAAAATATCTTGTGAAAGCGAAATCTGTTGAAAATCAATTTAATTAAACGGTTTAGCAGTTGTGAAGCACACGCACCAACTGCTGAGAGAAGTTTAGTGGTTTCTAACCTTAGAGTAGGTGTCGCTCTTCGGGTCCACGTCAATTGTGGCCAAATAATCCGGTTTGTCGTTGGATGGTTGGATGCACGGAACATAAACCAACTTTTCCCTGGGACCGTTTTTCATCGCGTCCAGCGGAGTCGGAAATCCGCATTCCGCTTCGCAGCAACTCTCTAAACAATAAAATTTCAGATGGGAAAAAACGATCTTCCGATTTTCGTCGGAATAATTCCCGCCCAGATATTATCTCTTTTCAATCCTTCGGCTAATCAATCCGCGTACGGAAGATCCGTCCCAAGCGCATTCCGTCCCAAACGCTAAGCCCTTTAATCCCCTTTGTCTTTGGGGTGGCGCGCCACCCAAACTGACCAGCTTAATTCTTTTGTGATTTCTTGGAACCCGCGGCAGCTTTCCCTAACTTTTGGCGCCATATGAATTTTGGAACTTCTTTAAAATTTTTAAATTGTGTTCCCTCTCAAAAAAAGGAAGAAAACGATACCAAATAACATATGCTTCGAAAATGTTATAGGAAGCAGAAAAAAAAAAACCCCTGACCACCCAGGTTATGTTTTCTATATCTTGAAACAGGCGGCAGCTTTC